ATACATTTTTACTTAAATAAATTTTAAAAAATATGCTCACACCTAAAAAAAAAACCCTTTTTGAAACCCACCTCTTTCTTGGGTTTGATCAGGCCTCCATATGTGGGCTTATGGCTACTATTGAAAAAGGGCCCGGAAAACATAGGCTACAAATAAGGGTAAATTATATCAATAGTTCATGAAGTTTATCACTCATGTAACTTTAGTCCTTAAACTTTCAATTTCTTCAATTTAATCCTCAAAGTTCAAACATTGGACTAAAGTAGTCACTCCCACAAACCACTGTCTAAAACATTGACAGAAAATAGCATGTTCTTGGCACGTGATTCCACTAAAGGATATTTATGTCTTTAGGCTTTTAAAATAAAGGGTGTAAGTGTAATATTATATGTAAAATAGATAAAATAAATAGAATATGATATTATATAAAAATTCTGTAAACAATCTCTCTCTAACGAAAATATCGACTACCGCTACAATCCCCCACCACCACGACCACCTCCTTATTCTGTCCATGGTTCTCTCTCTCTCTCTCTCTCTCTCTCTCTCTCTCTCTCTATCACACACACTCTGTGCAACACCCATCATCGCCCGTCCCCATGATGTAGATAAAATGGAAAACAACAAATAATTAAAATAAACGAATATTGCATACAAAGGGGAGTGAAAACCAGCCTGCTTATTGGTCTCTACAATTCACAATAAGCTTCCAATCAGTTGAACAAGGTTTTTAAATGGCCACTGAAATCACCCTCCTTCACAAGCTGACCCAGCCAAAAACTCTCAAGACTTTCAGACATTTTTTCTCTTATCTGCTTATATTTTCTTTGCCTTTTATGTCGAACACACTTTCCTTTTACTTTTACAATGGATGGCATGCTAGTGTTTTTGTATTTGCTCTTCTTATTTGTTGCAGTAGCAGTAATAGCAATTTTTGGTGCTTAAAAGGTTTTGAACTGAAAATATGACCACATCCATGCACAGAGAGAGAAAGAGAGGGAGAGAGTTTTGTGGGTGGGTGCTCTGTTGGGAGTTGTGTGTGTGTGAGAGAGAGAGAGTGAGGATGAATAGGAAAGGGGAAGAAGAAATAGTGTGTTTGGGTATAGGTTTAAAATTGTTTAAAGCAGGAATAAGGATGTTTGGGCATAGACCTAGGTGCAATAACTACGTTACCCTTTATATTGGTCACATGCTTGGAAGGTGCTATTTTCCGTTAATGATTTAGACAAAAGTTAGTGCGGGGACTACATTAGTTTAATGATTGAACTTTGAGGATTAAATTGACAAAATTGAAAGATTAAAGATAGAAGTTCAACAACAGGAATGTTATACTGACCAAATTTTAAGACTAAATTAAGAGCCCAAATAACATGATAACACATTATTTGAAATTTTTATTGGAGCTCAAATGACATGACACTAAATAAATAAACCTAAATCAACTGTTATGTCATTTGGTTCCATAATTTGATCTTAAAATTTAATCAGTATAGTATTACTGATTCAACAATTGGTAAACTTCAGGGTTTATTGGTACAATTTACCCCTACAAATAATGCATTGGGGATTTAACAACCAAATTTGACCTAAGGCATTACAACGAGAACCACATCTACAGTGGTCGAAGTGGTGGTAGCCCCCTTGAGTCAAGTCAAAGGGAGAGCTCTTGCACCTCTCTCCGAGAAATACGATTCGATATTTGAATCGGCCGAAAGAGAGTAAAGAGGTAGCTACTCTCCCAGCCTATGGGAAAGTCTCTTCTTTCTGGCTTACATCAAATGCATTGAGGGTGTGTTTGTTTGGAAGGATAAAGGTGGCTATCACAAGTAGGATTGGATAAAAAAAATTGGAGGCCCACATATCCTAGCTTTGGCTTCTCCAAAAGAGATAGGATTTTCGTTGGGCTTGAATTAATTGGCCCGTAGAAATTTGGCCTGTTCTCCCACCTGATTAGGATATCTGAAACCCAACTGAAGTTTGGGATTAGTAAGCCCACATGCTGGATAAGGAATAAAATTACTAAAATGCCCATTAACAGTAACTAAGGTAGGGTTTTTACCCTATTTCCCTTCCCTTTCACCTGGTCCCCCACTTTGACAACGGCGTAGAGACTTTAGCCGAAGATAACAAAATCTCTCTCTCTCTCTTTCTCACACTCTCTCTTTCCTCCCTATGTCCCTCGTCTCTATATCTCTTGCCTGGTTATGATTTGCTGGTTCGTTTGTCTCTCTATCTTCTTCTCTTCCTCCATGGCTGACGCCTGAAACATTGCAAGGTCCAAGGATTTTTTTTTCGTTTGTACAATACTATGTATTTTTTTTGTAATCTACTAGCTGAGAGATGAAATCCTCTACACTTTCTTGTTTTGGTTTTCTCCCATACTTGATGGAGGACCTTTCCATGACTAACGCCTAAAAATTTTCGGCATGATATAATTTTTTTTTTCAATCAGTTATATACTGAAATAAAAATATATAAGAGGTATGATATATTTTAATTTTTCAACTAGTTACATTCCAATCGCAGCATATATACTGAAACGAAAAAGAATCAGTTCAATCTTTGGACTAGTGCTTGTCTAGTCTCATTTCCATAGCCAGTACATTACCATACATAATAAGTGTGATCAAGGTGACTTCTTTTTTGCTTATTGGGTAGTGTAAATCTGTTGCATACGTAATTGTTTTTGCTTATATATTGTTTTTCTCTGTTTTTGTGTATTTTGTAATTCAGTTTAAATACTTTAGATATCTTTAAATAAAGTTATCCTTAAAAAGAATAGAAGAATTGCGAAAGAGGAAGAGAGTGGTATTTGTTGATAAAGGATAATGACTTGGACTTTGGTTGGAGTTTTTTTTCTGCGAAGACAGTGCTGGTCTGTTTGAAATATTGGGAGAGGGTGTGAATGATTGTGATGAAATTGCTGGCTGAATGATGTTTGAATGTTTTTTGGTCTTGTTGATAGGTTTGTTGAGTTTTTATAAGGCTTTTGTGCCTTGGAGTTATTGGTTTTTGGTAAGGCAGTTGTGCCCTTTATTGCTTCTTGTAATTATTTTTTTGTTAATAAATAAAACATTCCTTAAAAAAAATAAAAATAAAATAAAATGAATAGAAGAATTAAATAGTAAAGTGACCATTTTGTTAAACAACCATCAACTCCAAAAATTTAAAGCTATTTGGTTGGGTGTGATTCAATGCAAGTATTTACATTTCAGCACTCATCAAAAGCTTAAGTTATTATTGGAACCAACACTTCCAATACTTTGGTGTTATTTTCAAACAAGATGACGTTTCTTCAAGCACTCATGCATTGAATAGTGTTGATTCGTCACCCTCAATTAATTCTCCAAGGCACGTCGATGTTATAATCATCGATGATTGAATGCGTAGACGATCTACAAGGGTTAAATGGTTTCCCATTTAATATGATTATATGTATGTATTGTTGTTTGTATAATATATTGTTACATGCCACAACCCATTTTGGTATTTACAATGTAAAGCTTGTGGTAGTGTAGGGTGTACGACTTTTGGGTGGATATGTCTTTACCAAACAATTTAGGACATGCTGCCTATATTTTGTACGAATAGATTAAGACAACCAGTAATATGGACGTGTAATGTTTGAAATTTAAATCACGTTATCTTAAATTTGTGTAATGTTTTTTTTAAGGCAACAGTTGTTTGGATGACACTTTTAACTATGGTATGTGTTGGAACATGGAGGCTGCGTTCAGGATACTATTTGGATTGTTTGTGCTTAATTGAGCAATATGGTGTAGTTGATGGTAAATTTGAGAAAGAGGTTGTTCACATGATGGTGCATGGGAAAATTGTAAAGAATGGGTTGACATTCTGCCAGTAGAAAAACAAAAAACATGTGCTCATTTTTTATTGATAAAGGATAACACAGTTTGACTTTGGTACAATGATATTCCTTATCTTTTGAATGTTTTGTCTTTTTGAAGTTAAGAGTTCAAGTTCCCCCTCCCCTCCCAAAATATTTTTTAAAAAAAAAAAATAAAAAAAAAGACTTTACATGTGTGTTGTATATATTTTTTCTTTGTAGAACAAATTGTGTTCTTTTTAACATGTTTTGAAGGCGGTTTGTATACAGTTTTTCCCATCTTGACTTCTTGTATTTTTTTTGGTGATTGGAAATAATTTTTTCTTCATTAAATTTTTTTTAAAAAAAACCGTTACTTTATATTATGGTTCATGTGAATTTGAGTTGTGACGTATGTTTCCTATATTCAATTATTTTTTTATCCTAAATATTTTAATGTCTTTGGTAGATGAAATAAGTTTCTGAGCGTATTATAACATCAACGTATAATAACAAGTATTTGGTGAATATATAAGCATTCTTAAATGTTTTACAATATTAAATTGGTAACCAACAATGATAAAAAAGTAAAAAAAAAAAATGGTAACCAACAATTCTCAAGCCAAACAGGAGATAGGATTGGATATGATTTAAGGATAAAATGGTCAATTTATATCAAAGGTATTAAATGTTTAATAAAAAAGTAAAATTTGTTCATATCCCAACCACATCATATGCACTATCCAAATTTGGGATTGAATAACACAATTTCCTTTTATCCCATTAACATATCCGGCCTATTAAGATTTCATTGGGCTGGTTTGGGATTTAAATCCGAGCCAATCCAGTCCACCCATGATTTACCAAATACGCCCTGAATGCCCATCAAGTTATAAGCCATTGGGTTGCACTATTTTTCTCAATCCCAAACCCATGAAACAAACAAACCCGTACTCATTCATTCTAGCCAAGCATACATGATTTTGGGTTAAGTCAGTGGCTGCCAGCACCCCCACCATGAAGGATTTAAACACACACAAAAGCCTTGTAATTCAAAAACTAGCCATGACAACAACAAAAAAAATTCAAAATTGGTGCATTACAGCAAGGAAATAATCATTCCACATCTTTATATGTTAGATTGCAAATCAATGTTAATGCTTTTCAAGACAGTTTCAGAAATCTCTGACCGAAATCTCTCCTTTGATCTTTCTCTCCCTCCATTTTCTTCCCTCCCAGCTCAGCTACCTTTTCTCCCTCCTTTTCCTTATTTCGAATAGTCAGTCAATCAATTCAAGATACAAAAAACACTACCCTTTTCCCACTTGCCCTCAAATTCCACTTTTTTTTCACTTCTTACGAGGTTATTAAGCAAACACTTTCTCAAACACTCCCACAATTTTTGGTGTCAAAAGCCCAAATGATTGTCCAGTCTAATAGACTATAGTAACCTATCAGACAAGCTTGGAAGTCTTCTAAAGAAGTTCAAGCTAGTAGGTGGCATGGGGTCCCTGAACATTGGGTGGCGCAAGAAATAGAATCCAAGGGCCACAGCAACCATTTTTGGTGGCACCACATAGAGTACCATTGTAATTGCAAGGCACACTGCAATGAACAACTTGGTGGCTCTTGGGTCCCTCCAACTCACCAAGGCCTGGACTCTCTCACCTTGGGTTGCAAAATCACCCAAAACTGTTTGCACCCTTGCAGCCAATATTCTCAACCGGTCATACCGGATCCTGATTATTTCGGGGGGTTTTGAACTCGGAATCGTGTCAAATTCCTCATCCAATTCATCCAAGTCAGCAGATTCTGCTTGGGAGAGCCGGATATCCATGCCTGCGGGGATTTTTGGCTTGAACCGATAGTACCATACACCAATCAAGAATACGTATAAGAACCCGGTTGGGACAATCAAATCCGGAAACCAAACTAGTACCAAGTATAAAACATGGACTAACACCGTTGTTACCGGGTTCTTCCATCGCCTAATGTCATCTAACCATTTAGCCAACCCAACAACCCAAGCAAGTACTGCCACAATCCGAAACCAATTAGTTTTACTCCTTCTCATGCTCCATGTATGTGAATCCGCATCCAACATGTATCGGACAACTTCTGGTCCTAACGGTGGCTCAGACCGCGCCAACCAGGTGGCCACCAATTTAGTAGCTGCCCCACGTAATGCCTCTTGTTGAGCCACCCCAAGGGGTCTTAGGTAGTGCATTATAGGAAGCATTGGTTGCCCATAAACCGCACAAGTATCCGGCAACAATGATGGGCAAGCAAATCGGACTGCCAATTCAATCTCACCCATTTTCTTCAATCCGGACCTTAGGAGCACCAACAATGGATAAGAATTAGTATACACCTTGTTACTCTCCAATGTAGACACCCGTATTCGAACTTTCCCGATACGATAATCGGGTTTGTCTTCTGATGTAACATTTAACATGCGCCAATTGTCAAAAACCGCAATGGTAAGGACCGTACATGGATCGTATACCTGCCATGTATACTGCTCGTTCCACCGTGGATCAAAGGTATCGGGTATGGTCCGTGTACGGACCCACTTTTTCCCATACTTGGCAACACAATAAGCATCCGTGGACCCTTTACCTCCACCCTTGGATTTCATGGGTAGCAGTCCACGAGCTCCAAGTATTCCCAGCTCTAAGATCCCAATGGCTGGCTTCCATAGCTGCTTAGCAGTGGGTCTGAAGTCACTGCACACGTGAGCTGCCTCATCAAGTACGTGATACCCACCCTCTAAGCACATCTTCAAGTGAATTCTCCCGCAGTAGGACCCATTTGGTCCACCTTCCAATCCGAACCACTTGGCCGCCACGTGGTGCTCAGTTACACGTTGTTCCAGTGAGGCCACAGGAACAACCACGTGTCCGAGAAGCACTGGATCCGTGCCCGTACGCTCCTGCACTAGTATGATCAGGGTGTCTTCCAGTGGCTCACCGGCGACGAAGATCATGTCTTCGTTCCAGTGAAACGTCGATGTATGATTGCTCATGGAGCCTCGTCTCGTCCTAACAGATTGAAACCCTAGCAGAGCTTTGACACGGATCTCCGGCGCCGTCAACGGAGGTAAATTCGGAGCGATGTGAAGATCTTGAGCTTCGATTACTGTAATCCTCAAGTACCAGAGCTTCGGCGATTGATAAATCTTAGAGCGCGTGTGTGCCACGTACGGGGCATCGGAGCTCCACGACTCGGGAAATGCGTCGTCTGCTTGAGTTCCAATCCAAACGGCGAGTTGAATATCGCCGGAGACTCTGCCGGAATTAGGATCCTCGGCGCCACCTTCTAGGCGGTACCAACGCGGAGCTAAAGGACTATCCGGTGGGTCACGAACCGGAACGTCTGATAGGTCGAAGCAGACGCCGCCTAGGAATTGTTCCGATGACCTATCCCAAACGGAGATTTCGAGCGTCGAACTTGCTGTCTCTGTCTTGTTGTGGCCCAGAGCGAAGGTTTGCTGCCACTCTGGGTTTATCAATGACTCGCCGGGACGAAAACTCGCCGGTTTAGACCGTGCGAAGTGACCGGAAGTCCTAATTTTCACGTATGGATTCTCACTCGGTGCTAGTCCACGAGCTTTCAAGATTCGAGTGAAGAGATACTGCATTGGTTCCACCAGATCGTACGCTGAAATTTTCTCCAATTCACCGTTGAATTTCCAGGAGATTATTCTCGGCGAATAGTCTCCGTTTGCCTTGCTCAGAACCCTAACTCTCTCGCCAGCACCGGCAAGTCTGGTAGTAGTCTGCATTTTCCTCACCTCCGGCGGATACTCGGGCGGCATCGCCATTGTTGGCGGGACCTCATGATTCTGCTGATGATGGTACTGATAATGATCATGATGATGCTCTGGCTGAACATTCACCACCGGCGGAGACTCTTGGATAATCACAATCGGCGGTGATTGCGGTGCTGCCTCCATGGCTACTTCCGTCGGCACCGGCACTTCCACAACCGGCGGAGCCACCGGAGCCTTCTGCTCTGGAGGTTGCTGAGGGGGTGGGTCTGGTTCTCTCTCCACCACCAACTCATCATAGTAACAAATCCTCAACCCAATCTCACCTCTGATCCAGCTAAACACACTCTTCTTCTCCAGCGGAAAATAAATCAACCCTTCATCACCCATCTTCGCAAACTGGCTTCCATACATCTTCACACGCCCCAGAAAATGGTTTTTCCTCGCATTTCCATTGCTAAGTTTCTTGTCATTGAAGACCTCAATTTCGAGCTCTTCGAACTCCATTGTTCTCGGATCAGTGACTATGAACTCGAGTCTCTCGTTCCATACAGGGTTCAAGTTCCGGCATATCGTTGAGGTTCGTTGTTTTTGGCCGTCGAAGTCTACAACTACGTATGGGCTTGAGCTTCCCTGACCATCTTTGGGTAAAAGCTCACGCGCCCCTTCGACAAAAACGATGAGTTTTCTGATGGTTGTTTGCTCTGGCTGGTGGGTGGTTTCCGGTGGTCCAGACGACGTCGTCATGCTGTCATAATGAGGGAAAGAAGAATAGTTGGCCGTTGATGGCGGTGAGATATGGTTGAAATGTTAGTGGTTTTGTTTGCTGTGATTGCTGGTGATTGCTTTTTTGGTATTTTCTTTGCTTCTCGTTTTTTGTTTTAATTTTTAGGGTTGCGAGCCGATAATAGAGGCGAATTTTGTGAGATTGGGCTGAGCTAAATTAAGCTCATTTTTTCTGAACAAGCAAAATCGAGCTTAAATAGCTCAATTATTTTACATATAAATGAGTTAAATTTTACGAATTTAAATCAAATTTTTTAAGTTCATTTTTTTACACAATCTTTAAAATTGTTCAAACTTCCCAAACCGAATCCAAAAATAGATCAAACCCGAACCAAACCTAGTAACTTGACTCTATTATCAGCGCTAATTCTGGGTTATTTTGCTTTAGCCGTTTTCAGATTTGGGGAATTTTTTTGGGGTGGTGGGACTTGGGAGGGGAATGTAGCTGGTTGCGGTGGTTGCTGATGCTGAGAGAGAGAGAGAGAGAGATTGATTCCATTCCCTCTCGTGAAGCTTTGTTCCACCTTTTGGTTTGGCGCCTTTATGGATCGAGAACTTGCCATTTACAATTCTATACATACATGAATTGCATATTTTCTTAACCTACCAAAAGAAGCAAATTTGTGACTGTTTTAAGGACATGAGTTAGATTTTGTCTCAAGTTATGCTTGGGCTAGTTTTTTATTCGAGATAAAAAGGTCACTAAGATATTTAATTATTCTTCTGTATAAATTATTTAGAGAAAATGGCAAATAACTTGTGTTTTGTGTAAAAAATATATATATATATAATTGCAATTTTACTAATTTTTTTTTTATAAAAAGCAATCACTCATACAATCATGTCCTTTTTAATGAGAATGCAATTCAACTATTTCTAGCTTGAGCTGTAGTGGAGTGATTTCCGGTTGAGGTTTCTAACAGGGTGCTTAAATTTAGGGTCCAGCCCATGCTTGGTTTATTGACTGAGATTGGTCAGTTTCATAATTCTTGTTTTTTTTTTGTTTAATGGTTAATGGTGTTTAAACTAATTTACGCGTACCTCAATTAATTTTTTTCTCAGTCAAAATCAGGCTATCTACGTCAGGACTAGAATATTCATGAAAGATAAATTCCTTATGACTTGGTCTCAAGGGATTACCAGAATTCAAATTTAGGATGTCTGAATTTATAGCTCGTCCCTAATACCACTTAAACTACCTGTTGGAATTAATTAACGTGGAGTCTTTGACCAAGGTGAAAGTGATTCTATTTGCATCCTTAGTACTAACATTGGACTGAATCACAAATCTCCGTGGGTTGAATCAAAGAAGTTGGTCCTCTTATCTAATATAATTGGGTTAGATTCGACTACTACTTACTCTTTGCGAACTCTCAGACATGAGTTTTGTGTATTGATATGATCTTTTTGGAAAGTATTAGTACAATTAATTCTTACTTGAATGTGTGCTGCATTTATCGATGAATACAAACAAATGAAAGCCGTCAAGGCGTCGAAAATATATCTAAATATGAGCAAGATCTTATCAAATGAGAAGGACACAATTTGAAGGGCTATTTTGAATTAGAATAAAACCAGGATCTGTGAAATGTTGATATATGCTAGCACAGTTCTTCCTAAGGCAGACATTGATGTAGTCAATTAACTTGATGCTCATTCTATAAGGATGTTAAGAGGGTTTTCATCTTATTGAGTGTTGTTACATAATTAGTTGTGCCTCTAATGTTGATTCTAGCATCAGCTTTGGCTTTAATGTCAAACTAAACTAAACTAAACCCTGGTGCTAAATGTTATCAGTTCACCATTGTCTACTGAGCTTTCAAATTCAAGTTTCCAAAGTAACAGCCATATATCATAACTAAGATAGATGCTTCTGTGAGGCATATGATTCCACTCCCAACTACAGCCCTCAGCCCTCCCCTTTTTGACAAAAGCACCCAACAACATTTTGAATAAAGTTTGTGGGCAAAGCATCTCCTTTATTGCTCCATGCCCCTTATTCTTCAGTATCACTTGTCAACACTATAGCTGTCCAATGGGTTGTGTTCCTCCAGGATGAGGCCATCAAGTTCAAGACAGTTTCTATTTGCAATTAACAGGAATCTGTTAAACCGGGTGATTACTGGTACGCTCATGCTTTTTAGTCAATTCTTTAGTTGCTAGACACAACACCATTAGAAGCTACAAATTTCACTTAAGAACACTTTCTTTTAGCTCTACATAATAAAACTATTCGTTGCTTTCGTGTCTAAGATGAGTAAGTGAATATTTGCTTTCACGATGGAATCAAAGCCAATTAAATAGCTCTGACAATATCACTGCCTGATTGATTTTGTTCTGTGAGATAAAAAGGTTGGACTGGACAAGGATCTAAAGCCTGAATATTGAACCAAACATACTCAGCAATGGAAACTATAAGTTGTATTAATAGGACGTAAACCAAGGGAATTGTCCCTTTATATTACTCCGGGCTTCTTGTTCAATCCTAAACTGCCATTTGGAACTTTTGGCACTTATTCTTAAGAAACTTCCCGGTTCTGCATCGTGTCTGGGTGGTTAAGTAGGCTGCTTACAGAGTCTTGAGGATTGGTTGGCTAATTAAGGAATCTGATCCTTTTTGGATAAAGTAATCTTTTGCAGTGATTGCTATGGTTATGGCATATTTCCTTCAGTGAGGATGATCAGATAAACATGATCCTGGCGAAATAAATTCATTCGTCCCAAAATTTCCCTGACTTTTTTTGAATGGAATTTGATTCTATCCTGTCCTCAGGTTTGTGTGGTTTACAATTACCAAAACCTTATGTGGAGTATTAGTCAGGGTTCTTGGAGGGATTTGGTCCTGTTAAACCAAGGAGTCACATGTGTCCAAACTCTATAGACCTCTTTGCTTATTGGTTCTGATTTTATTTTGTTATTTTTTAGATACTGGTATTCTTATGGTCCTGAAGACTACCGGGATACTGAGTCTGGTCTTGGGGACAGCTCAAACATTAAACCTGCTTCAGGCAAGGGAAGCAGGCCTGGTAGACGTCACATGATTAGAGGATGCTGTGCCATTTTACTGTTAAACGCTTATACACCCGCCCCTTCCTTGCCTTGATCATCTACAATCAGCGAAACCATGTGGATAAAACCATGGTATACTTGATCAGGATGCTGTGGGAACAAGGGCTATGTATGCTCCTCAGATACATACTTGCCCCTTCTTTGAATATCCTGCAGTTGAAATGAGATTTTATACTGGACTATCCTTTTTTTCGTTGAACAACTTGAGAAAGTGTTTAACATCATTTTGGTACATGGAAACATAACTACAGGAAATAGATATTGCTTTCACAGAAGGATCAGTCGATATGGTGAGACTAGCATTTTGATACCCGCCCGGAAAATCAAATCCGGACATAAAATCATCACCAAAGATCACAGCACCAGCAGCCAACGCTCCAGCACCCATTCCCATTCCAAAGCCAGGTCCACCCAGCTGCTGCAAATGGATATCAACAAGAATATAAATATCTTCATCAATGGACAACTGCAAGCAGGCTTTGGTCCAAATTCTAAAATATACATGGAGCTTAAATCCCTGAACTATAACAGTTGTGTCAAGATGACCCCTTCGTCCAAATTCATTAAGTTTAACCGAATTTTTCACGTGCACAGCTCATGACTCCTAAATTATACCCTAATTCTCGACTCACATAATGCACACTTGAGGAATTCGGTCAAAGTTAATCGCAAATTTAGACAGAAGGGTTATATTGACACAAATGATATAGTTCGAGGGTTAAATTGACACAAATCATTGTTCAAGAACTTGATTGACACAAATTATAGTTCAAGAGCTTAATTGACACAAATTGTATAGTTTAAGGGCTAAATTGATACAAATCATAGTTCAAAAACTTGATTGACACAATTGGTATAATTTAAAAGCCAAATTGATAGTTAACTCCGCACTTGACCTAATTATAATAGTGTATTGTTGGGTTCGTGTGTTGTATAAGTCATTTTAGTGAGTTCACCTATTATTTAAATTTTTGTTACCTCATTTATCTCATGAGTGTATCTGTTTATCATGTGAACCTGCTAAATTTAATCCTAAATTCACTAATTTCGTGTCGGCTGAGTGTTGTATAGGATTTCCAGAATTACATGGAGGATCAGGCAACTATTTTAATTTCAGGCATAGAAACCAAAAATATAAAAGAACAAAAGACTAAATAGATTAGCAAGGTTCAAGTATTTTTTGGAGTTTCATACCATAAATACTAGGTTCGTCCCTTTCCTCGGAAACCCGGATTGAAACATCCACAAATCCTTGAGGTTTGGTGGAATTCCTTTTCCGCAATTGAAAACTACCCACTTCCTCAACTGGTTTTGAGTTTGAAACTTCAGAATTCTTCATGTATTTATCAAGAAATTCTTTCATAACAACTGTAGCTGTCCCCTGAAGCCTCTCTACTGTAAACCTCAACATTCAGAGCCAACTCTCTGGGTTCAATTCGGATCAACCCACCCAACAGCCAACCATTGGAGCTTCCACGGAGATGAAGTTCTTCGGAGTCCCCTAGCAGAGATCAGGCAGATTTCAACACTGAGTTTACCCATTTCAGACCAAGTTTCTGTTTGTTGAAAGGAACAAGAGGTGGTGAGAGAAATTTGTCCCCTGTGACTGTGAGGTTCTGAGACAGGGGAATGCGATGGCTGAGTGGTTGGAGGAGGAGGAGAGATCGATTGAGAGAGCGATCTGAGCGAGAGAGAGATGGGATCTGATGTGAGAAAGGGAATCTAACTGAGAGGGGTTCTGATCGGGAGAGAGATGCGTTTTAAAAAATCCATAAAGTAAATGAGGATTTTAATAAAAAAATCTTAACTCTCAAACATCATTTTAAACAACGTTTTAACGTACGAAAGCGTCCTTGCAAATGACATTTTTAAAAAAAGATTAAATTTGAAAATTATGTTTAAAAATAACTGAATTATAAAAATAAGTTTTCGAACGGTCTAGAATTGGGAAAAACCTCCAATCTTAAGACAACAATAAATATTCTCGAGAATAATTCTGATTTTTTTTTTTTTTGGGTCAAAGGAATTATTCTGGTTGAAAGGCCCTCTTAATGTGCATCCAACTGAAATGGGAAACTAGTATACACTTGATGAAAATGCTAACATGGCTGTTACAACAATCCCTTGATTCTTCTTCTTCAACTTCTGTTTTACGGTTTCCACCGGACCAGCCTCATGCCACTGATTCTCTCTGTTGGTTTCATGGAATGTGTATTTTTGGTCAGTCTAGTTGCTATTTCCCTTACCTTTCTTGACATTATCTTTTCAAAAATTCTAATCTCTTTCCTGCTGTTCATTCTCTTCTGTTCATTGATCACAGAAAAGCTCATTGTTTTTAATGCAACTACACTAGTTTATTTCCTCAAAAAGATTTTAGTCTCCCTAGCCAAGATCCAATTTGTATATCATATTGTAGGGCAACTTCGGTAGTTAATTCAGTATCATTTCTTAATTACACATATTATATTAAGGGTAATCTTTCTTCAACCGCATCTAAAGGTCTTATGATGATCCCTTTCAAAGCTGGGTTATTATACCATCTGACTTGACTAAGAAATCCATGCGAGAGACTTCTTCTAGTAACCATCCTTGAAATTCAGAGAGGTATTCTTGAAATTCAAATCATATTCGTTGGAGCCTAAAACAATCTAATCAGTTAATACTTGCATATATAGTTCTATACAATTGATCCTTAAGTTTTTACTGCCTCTTTTTGGAAATGGATTGTCTCAATTGCAAGAATAGGAATGTCCAATAATTACTTGAAATTCAGTGAATTCTTTTCAAGACCTCATTGTTTTCCACATCCAACCTACAATTTGGAGCCAAGGATGCAAGTTTAGTCATCTGTCCAACCCAAAGAAGGCGCAAACTCTTCAAACAAATCAAAATGAAAATAATATAAAGTGTTTCAAGCTTTTTTGGAGAGAGATTAATAGAAAATTGAAGTGCCTTGGAATGACTTATTCTTGGTCTGTTTATAGAATAAAAGCAATGTTATGTAACCCAAATCTGCATCCTAAATGAAGGAGACCATTGAATCAGTAAATCTCCTTTAAAAAAGTTGATGGAACCTACTTATTCAATGGTCCCTTTTCATTTAGGACGAAAATTTTGGTTACAAATTTGAGTTATATAATATTTTTTATAGAACAATTAGCTACTATTCAAGAAGCCATTAAACATGTGTGGTGATTGTTTAAGAGAACCAGACGTGTCGGTTACTTAACACACATTTAAATTTTTAAATTAACTGTTTCTAATAGTCATATTTTCACAATTATTTTTAAATTTAAATATAACTATCCGATCACACTTTTTAGTGATCTACGGTCTAGACCTGACCATTAGGATATTTAATTTGATCATTGATCACGATCAAATAATTAATCATGAAATTCACCATTTGATTGTATGTATTTGTGAAATCAACCGTCCGATCAAAAATATTTACAAAAATCAATTGTAATGATTTGATCGCTCCTCAAAAATGATATTTTCGTGTCAAGTGCGCCTCTAAAACGGCACTGCCCACGTGAAGCGCACGGACAGTGCTTTGCACCATCTTAGTGTGCACCCCCATACATATTAGCATTCTTTAACACTAAAATACAAGCATGTGATAGATGTCTTATGTCTATTAATAAATGCATTTAGTTTCTTTTAATTTTTCACCGTGACCGTGAGATTGTCTTTAAGACTTTTTCACAACTTTTTAGAAAAATTATTATTACTCCATTTAAAAGCCACCAAAATACCTATTAATTATGCCCATAATTATAAAAATTTTACAGCATAAAAGAGCTTGCTCGAGTCTTGACAAATGAGAACAAAAGGCCTATGTATGTCATTTGTCAAGGGCTTTTGTCCAAAAAGTGGTGGGGGGTAGGACGCTAATCAATGAAAAAAAACAAATTTTAGAAAGAGTAATACTATTTAAATTTAAAATTTTGATTTAATTTGTTGATATAATGATGTGGTTTCAACAGAATTATTGGATTAACACCAAGTTTCAATGTTTGATGGGCTCTACAGTCAATCTAAAAGTTATACTGAATTAGATCAATAAATTAGGTCCTAATAATATTACTCTTTTAGAAAAGTGGTTTAAATAGATCAATTAATTAAGGGCAAACGAAAGACATTGGTATTAATTTAGGAGTCAAAGTATAATTTTTCATCAACTTAACTACTATTTTTCTTTGACGATGAGCTTATATATAGAAGCTTTGGTCCCATCAAAACTGATACTCTAAAATCCGAAATAGATTCTCAATGCTTGAACTTATAATCTAGAGTAAAATGCACATATGGTATTTAAACTATGGAGAAAATATTCAATACTTGACAGCCGGTACTCATCACCGATCAACAGATCCCACCTCAAGGTAGGCAGTGGAGAGAGAAAAATTAAAGAAGAGCCTACATTGAGGTGACATCTTTTGATTGGTAATGAGTATTAGTTATCAATGACAGTTTGGTACCTGCTAATGACAGAATATGAAGTGGCATCTGTTGATTAGTGATGAGTACCAGGTTGTCAATTGCCAAGTACTGAATATTTTCTCTTAAACTATGACCCTTATATTAATTAAATTTTTGAACATTTTTTTGTGTTAATTGAACTTCTGAACTTTTTAATTGTGTCAATTAAATCCTTTCGTCTGTTTCCGTTAGATTTTCTAAGGGTCCGTTTATTTAGCGGGATTATGGTATAAAATGCAGGAAATAGAATTTTTTTAAAATTTTTATGTGTTTGATTATCATGAAATGGAAAATGATAAAAAAATTTTTTTCTTCCATGCTTAGATTTTCTCACAACTAAACAACTTTCTTTTCTTGCAAAAAAAATAAGAAAATGTAAGAAAATTGTAATATATAACTAACTTCCTTTTTTACCCTTATTTTTCTTAAAATATTTTATTAGTTATTAATTTTAAAAAATCTTGGTATGAATTTAGTTAATAATATAATTTGACTTGGAGACTTTCGTGCTGATGATTGTAAGAAATAGGTTAACTTTTTTAAAAAAAATTAACTTTTAATTATAATACATATTTTTTTTCTTTAAATTGATTTAATATAATTAAGGGTAATTTAGATAATTAAAAAAAATTTCTTGTGACTTTCTTTTCTTTCAAATAATAAAATGAAATTTTTTTGAAATTTTCTTACAAATTTTTCATGCTAACCAAATACATACATGAAAATATATTTCTTTTTATTTTTTTTTGCACTTCACTTTCTATCATTTTCACTTTCCACAATTATTTTTCTCCTAACCAAACGGACTCTAATGTAAAGTGGCAAAGCATGCCACTTCAGTGACACGAATGGTTGGATTAAACTACACATATACCTTCAAACTATAACCATTGTGTCAATTAAGCCCTTATTTTTTTTTTTTTTTGTCAATTGTTTTCCTGAACTCTCTAATTATGTCAATTTTATCCTTTTGTCTTTTTGTTTCATATGGTCACATGAGTAGCATACTTTAATGGTGACAAACAAAAAGACTCAATTGACACAATAAAGAGTTTAGAGGTTCAATTGACATAAACAAAATTCATGAGCTTAATTAAACAAATATTATATTTTAAGGGTCTTATGTATAGTTTAATCTATAATCTATTTTATCCATACAAAAGAGAGCTATAGACCAACGGTTGACCGTTGTTGAGGAAGTGGTTCACCACTCTTCCCTCTGAACTTCTCATTCCCACAATTTCCTTTGTTCATTTATATCTCCTCGTGGTATTTAAACAAACCCTATTACCCTACCCTTCCAGCTATAGCTCTCACATAAAAGGCCATGGCCTGAAAATCAACTAGTACCTCCCTTACACACACACAGATATTTTTGTAGGTGTTGAGCATATAGGGTTCAACCGACAACAACTCGTTTGGAGAAAGATTTAAGGAATATAATTGAGAGTGAAAGATTATAAGAAAAAGAGAAATAAAAATGGTGGAGACATCCATGGAAGCTGTTAAGCTTAGGTTGTTATTTTCATTAGTTTTCTTCATAATGGTTTCATCTATAACCGCGACCATTGGCGAATTTGACGAGGTTTGGCAGAAGCGAGCCGAAGAAGCAAAGAAGGCCACTCTCGAGGCCTACCAACCGAATCCTGATGAAGTTTTGGATAATCTTAACCACCAAATCAACAAGTAAGTCCATCATCCCACACTTGATCTTTCACATCCATTAAACATACAATCATAACATTTAGCTACTGTTTGATGACATTATTTTATGATTTTGCAAATTTTTTAAAGTAACTTTCGTTTTGCGCGAGTTATCAATCACTTTTCTTTTAGAAAATCTGCCTCTAGCTAGATTGGGAGATGCCAAAAAACCATTTTTTTATTTTATTTTAACAATGATTTTACTTTTCTGACGGAACTGTTTTAGCTTAAACAGAAGTACGAGAACATTATCAAAATGTGTCTAAAGAAATTTGTTGTTTGAAGGGCGACGGATGGCAGCAACAGTACACGAAGGGACTTGCACAAATATAATGGTCCATGCTTGGCCACCA